TATAGTATAGTATAGTATAGTATAGTATAGTATAGTATAGTATAGTAGCTCTTTTTGTGATGGCAAAGAATTGGAAATCAAGGGGCAGCTCATCAGTTGGGGAATGGCTGACCAAGTTGTGGCATATGATCGTGATGGAGTACTATTGTGCTGTGGGAAATGACAAGGGGGGTAGTTTCAGAAAAAACATAGCAAGACCTATATGAACTGATGCAAAGTGAAGTGAGAAGGAATGGGGGATCATTGTGCTGAATAACAGCAATGTTGTAATGATGATCAGCTGTGAAAGACTTGGGTACTCTGATCAATACAATGATCCTAGACACTTCCAAAGGATTCATGATGAAAAAATGCTATCCACTTCCAGAGAGAGAGAGAAATGATGAACTCTGAGTGCAAATTGAATTATAATTTTCTAAGTTTTCTTGCTTTTTTGGAAATATATTTTTTACAGTTTTCACATGTATAATTTATAGCATATTGCTTACTTCCTCAGTGTGTAGGGAAGGGGTGGGAGTGAAAGAGAGAATTTGGAACTCAAAATTTAAAAAGAAAACAATGTTAAAAATAAATAATTTTTTTTAATGATAAGGGGGGGAGAATTCACAGTTGACTTACCTCTCAATGATGTATCTGACAATTATTAAGACAAATGTCAATGGAATAACTGCTAGCAAGTCCTTGGGGTGAGGGTATATGGCCCCATCTGAATCTTCCAAGTCAGCCCATGAATACTCTTTAGGGAACCAATATCGGTCATTCCAAAAACAGTCATACAGACTGACCAACATCCTGCAAAAAAGAGACAGAGGGTTTTATTGAAAATTTCAGGAGAGAGGATTCTGGGAAGAAGGCAGAGTAGGTCACAAAATCCCAAGCTTTCTAGATTTTCCCTACAAACAAGACAAAATGGCACCTCAGGGTGAATATAGAGAGGTAAAAATAAACAAGAATCAGGGCAGAGCAGTGGTCCTCCCAGGACAACAGGAGAAAGAAAGAAAAATCCCAGAACCTAGTTTTTGTCCCTGTGAGGTGTAAATACCTCTAGGCTAGTTATGCCAAAATAGCAAGAGTTGAACCCTGGGGCTAGCTGGGTTGGGAGATCAGCTCCAGCTATAGGAATTTTCACCTCCTGGAAAGTGTGGGGAGTCAGGCATCTTAGCGGGGGAAGATTGAGGGAACCTTTACTGATAAGGGACGCCAGGCCCATCTATGCTGCCAAGACGAGACGAGGTCCTGGGTGAGAAGGAACCAGCACGTGCCCGGTGAGTGCAGAAGCAGTGAGGCGGGGATGTTGCTGGCTTTACTTATAGGAGGACAGAGTTCCAGGCCAGAGGGGAGAATTGCAGCCAGAGGTACCATTTTCCATACCCCAGGACTAGAGGTGATTACAAGTTGCTATAAATAAATTTTTATTTAAAAAAAAATGAGCAGTCAAAGGAGAAAGAACCCAAACATAAAAAGTTACTATGGGAATAGAGAAGACCAAGGTTTATCTTTGGAGGAGAATACTGAAACAAAAAAGCCTCTCCTACCCCAAAGAGTAACGTCAAATGGTCACCTACCCAAAAAGAATTCATAGAAGAACTTTACAAAGACTTTAAAAATCAAATAAGACAGATTGAGGGAATTTTTTTATTAAACAATTTATTTATTAATTTTTAGTTTTCAACATTCACTTCCATAAGATTTTGAGTTTTAAATTTTCTCCTCCTCCCCTCCCTCTCCTCCCACCTCCCCAAGATGGCATGCAATCTGATATAGGCTCTACTAATACATTTATATTAAGCATATTTTCACATTTGTCATGATGTAAAGAAGAATTAGAACCAATGGGAGGAACCACAAGAAAGAAGAATCAAAACAAAACAACAAAAGAAAAGAAGAGCAAATAGTATGCTTCCACCTGCATTCAGTTTCCATCGTTCTTTCTCTGGATGTGGATAGTTTTTTTTTTTCCATTATGAGTCTTTTGGAGTTGTTTTAGATATTTGCATTGCTGAGAAGAGCTAAGTCTATCAATGTCAGTCATTGCATAGTGTGGCTGTTACTGTGTACAATATTCTGATTCTGCTCACTTCATTCAGCATCAGTTCATATAAGTCTTTCCAGGTTTTTCTGAAGTCCACCTGCTCATCATTTCTTTTGGAATAATAGTATTCCATTACATTTATATGCCACAGTTTGTTCACCCATTCCCCAATTGATTGGCATCCCCTCCATTTCCAATTCTTGACCACCACAAAAAGAGCTGTTATAAATATTTTTGTACATGTGGATCCTTTTCCTGTTTTTATGATTTCTTTGGGATACAGATGTAGAAGTGCTGTTGCTGGGTCAAAGGGTATGCACAGTTTTATAGTCCTTTGGGCATAGTTCCAAATTGCTCTCCAGAATGGTTGAATCAGTTCACAACTCCACTAACAAAGCATTAGTGTTAAAATTCTCCCACATCTTCTCCAACATTTATCATTTTCCTGTTTTGTCATGTTAGCTAATCTGATGTATGTGATGTGGTACCTTAGAATTGTTTTGATTTGCATTTTTCTAATCAATAGTGATTTAGAGCATTTTTTTCATATGACTATAGATAGCTTTAATTTATTTCTCTGAAAACTCTTCATATCCTTTGACCATTTATCAATTGGAGAATTACTTGTATTCTTATAAATTTGACTCAATTCTCTCTATATTTTAGAAATGAGGCCTTAATCAGAAACACTGACTGTAAAAATTATTTCTGAGCTTTCTGCTTCCCTTCTAATTTTGGTTGCATTGGCTTTGTCTGTGCAAAAGCTTTTCAATTTAATGTAATCAAAGTCATCCATTTTGCATTTCATAATGTTCTCTATCTCTTGTTTGACCACAAATTCTCCCCTTCTCCATAGATCTGATAGGTAAACTATTCCTTGCTTTCCTAGTTGGCTTATAGTATCAGTCGTTACATCTAAATCACATACCAATTTTGATTTTACCTTGGTATAGGGTGTAAGATGTTGGTCTATGCCTAGTTTCTGCCATAGTATTTTCCAGTTTTCCCAGCAGTTTTTTTTAAACAGTGAGTTCTTATCCCAGAAGCTAGAGTCTTTGGATTTATCAGACAGTAGATTATGACAGTCATTGACTGTTGCGTCTAGCATACCTAGCCTATCCCACTGATTCACCACTCTATTTCTTAGCCAGTACCAAATAGTTTTGATGATTACTGCTTTATAATACAATTTAAGATTTGGTATAACCAGGCCACTTTTGCTTGCATTTCTTTTCATTAGTTCCCTTGATATTCTGGACCTTGTGTTCTTCCAGATGAATTTTGTTACTTTCTTTTCATAGTCTTGTTTTTCTTGGATTGCTCTTTTTTTTCTCAATCCTATATGAACACAATTACAAAATACTTTTCACACAAAGTCATATCTAAATAATTGGAAAAACATCAGTTACTCATGAGTAGGCCAAGCTAATATCTTACACAAATGAGGTATGAAAAGAAGAATTGATACAGAGGAATTAGATGGGGGAGGAGGGTGGGTAGTTCTGGAACCCTACTCTCATTGGGAATAAGTTAAACAGGGAACTATATATATAATATATATATATAATTCAGAAAGAAAGAAGGCAAAGGAGATAGGAAGGTGGGGAGGATAAGGGAGGGATTTTTAGAGGAAACCCTACTTACATCAGATCTGGATTATAGAGAGAACAATAGTTACACTTAGAGTGGAGAGGATAAGGGAGGGATCTTTGGAGAAGGGTAGGTTAAGTAAAAGGAGGGCAAGGTAGTGGGTAGAAGTAAAGTAGAGGAGTCAGGAAGGATAAGAAATAAAATACACACACAAATATAAAATAAAGATCAGGAGTAGAATTTATTAGGAAAAAAAACCAGGGGTAGTAATCATGATCTCAGACAAAGTTAAAACTAAAATAGATTTAATCAAAAGAGAAAATAGGGAAACTATACTATATATCAGCTGTATTAATCAATATTGTTTTAGACTATTTAAAATAACTAGACAGTATAAGGTTGGAATATTGCTGTGGCTTAGGAAATGATGAGTTGGTGGACTTAGAAAAATATGGAAAGATTTGTATTTATGAAGAAAAACGTTATCCACCCTCAGAGAAACAGAGGACAAACAAGAAACTGTGGTCTTACATAGAAGCATATGGATGTATGTGTCTATATATGAGTATGATTATAGATATCTAAGTATATGTATGTGTGTAAGTGTATGTATGTGTATACATATGCATATACATGTTTGTGTGTGTAGGTCTATGTGTATATGTATGTGTATATATATGTATGTACGTGTGTATATACACATGTATGTGCACACACGTATACATCATATATATATACATATAAATAACATATATATATTTATCTGCAATTAATTGTAGCCTTCCAGGGGGAGGGGAGGGAGGAAGAGGGAAAAGAGAACAAAGTAAAAAATGCATAGCAGAGAAGAAAAGAAAACTTACAAGAAAGCAAAGAAAGGATGGACAGCTCTGAACACAATGTGTAATGTTTATTATAGAGACTTTCTTGAAATGGAAATTTATTGCTGCATATTTTGAATCCTTTCTTATGTTCTGCTGTGCACATGGCAATGCTTTTTTTTTCTTTTTTACTTTGTATTGAAGTTTTAGTAATATGTTGCTTTTTCTTTTCTTATTGTGCATTTAAGTTTGAGTATTTAAGTTTAAAATAAATTATTTTTTTAAGGGGCAGCTAGGTGGTACAGTGGATAGAGCGTCTGCCCTGGAGTCAAGAGGACCTGGGTTCAAATCTGGCCTCAGACACTTACTAGCTGTGTGACCCTGGGCAAGTCACTTAATCCTGATTGCCTCCAAAAAACAAAATAAAGTGTTAGTCTTTGTAAAAAAGAAAGAAAATGCCCCAAGAAAATGGTAGCACATCATTGACAAGGAATATCGTATGCTAGTTAATTTTTTAAAAATTCTGGTAAACTGTGGGTAAATGTATATGACTTTCTGATTATAAAAACAGAAAATGTCACAGCATCAAGGTACTTTGAAGTCCTTTTACAGATAGGGAAACTGAGGCCCAGAAAGGGAAAGAGATTTGCTCAGGATCATATGGTATGTCAGAGGCAGAACTGGGTCTAGAACAGAACCCAACTCACCTTATTCTCTTGTCCAGGGCTCTTTTTATGGCACTGGCCTTTGTTGCACCAGGGCCACAGGGAGGATATGGTTGGGTGATCCTCATCAAATAAGAAGGCTGCTGCTTAATTCTACCTTTTCACAAAATGCTCTCATGTACAAGACTTTGTATTCTGGGGCTGCCACTGTGAAGCCAAGTCAGCATCTAACTTCCAAAAAGAAATCCTTCTTTTTCTTACCTAAGGTGAGTGACCTTCCCTCAACACCCCTCTCTCAATTCTGGGCCAGGAGCACAGCCTCAAAAAGAATATGAACTCCTTAAAGGAAGAGACTATTTTATTTTTTTCCCTTTGCAACTCCATCAGTTTGCATTTCACATAACAGTGTCTTAATAAATGCTTGCTGAATGAAAGTCCATAAATGCAAACTTTTTCTCAGTATAACAGGGACCACCAATCCTCAGGGGAGCATGCTCAGAGCAACAACTCCTGGTTCCAGGATACTATATGGAAGTAGGGGTGGGGGGCTGCTTCTACTTATTTGTGAGTCATAACTGAGGGACTTGTACTTTGAGGTAACAGAATCCTCTTATCAGCTGAAGAGTCTAAGTACTTCAGATGAACAAAGCAGAGTGGCTGCCTCCTAACCCTATTTTCCTCTTCTAG